CACCAGTTCAGCGGCACACTGAGTATGGTAGCCTGGTGGATAGCGCGCAGGACTCTTAATTTTGTGGCGCGGGTTCGATTCCCGCACGAGGCAGAAACAAATGGGCAAAGTTTCTTTCACCCCAAATGCCCCAGTTACCTAGCAGTAAATAGGTACCTGAGAGTTATTCAGCTGTCACGGGCTGCTTCCTGGGGTGTGTGTGTGTGTGTGTGGTGTGGGGAAAAAAAGTAGTTAGTAAACAGTTGATTGACAGTTGAGAGGCGGGCCGAAAGAGCAAAGCTCAACCCTTGCAAACACTACTAGGTGAATACACTCGCAGACTCGCTCACAAATATTATCCTCACCAGCTCAGCGGCACACACGCAGACTCTCACACACAAACGTTATTCTCACCAGCTCAGCGGCACACACGCAGACTCTCACACACAAACGTTATCCTCACCAGCTAGGCGGCACACATGCAGACTCGCACGCAAACGTTATCCTCACCAGCTCAGCGGCACACACGCAGACTCGCACACAAACGTTATCCTCACCAGCTCAGCGGCACACACGTAGACTCGCACACAAACGTTATCCTCACCAGCTCAGCGGCACACACGCAGACTCGCACACAAACGTTATCCTCACCAGCCGCCATAGGAGAATAGCGTGTGATAGAACGCCGTGGCTATGAGAACGGGGCTCCAGTTGCTGCCGGCCATCGGGTCCTGGAAGTGCTGGCTACGGCCCCACGCCAGATGGTTGACGCCGACCACGATAATCATGATGAGAGCCAACACCTTCGTCAGGGCCAATACGTCTTGCACCGTCGTCGCCCATTTCACCTTCCTTGAGTTGATCCAAGTTAGCGTAACTGGGGAGACGAAGGACACACATACTCAAGTTCTTACAGAAATGGGTCAGATCTGACAAGAGTATCAGTGTGTGTATGGAGAAAAATGAGACAAATTCACGCTGTCACTCTAATGCATGGCACAAGCGTGCAAGTATCGTTCAGTCATTTATAATGCCACCACGTTCACAAGAGATATTAGAGAAAGAAGAAGATTTTATGGCTCTTGATGATGTGGGCAATACTTTAGAGGCCTCTAAAGTTACAAGTTAAATTTAAGGACTAGTGCTTGCTCCGTGGGGGGTCAATATCTAAGGTCAAGGAGTTGCTAAACAGTGGGGTTAGGTAAGGCCCGGCCCCAAGGAAAAACAATTCCCAGCAAATAATAATTAATATAAATGATCTGTAATCTAGAGAGATTGGGGCCTGACTGCTGGGTGGACAGCGCTTCGGAGTCGTAGTCCTGAGGTTTCGGGTTCGATCCCGGGTGGAGGCGGAAACAAATGTGCAGAGTTTCTTTCAACCTCATACCCCTGTTACCTAGCAGTAAATAGATACCTGGGAGTTAAACTGCTGCTACGGGCTGCTTCCTGGAGGATGTGTGACAAGTAGCAGACCAGGTCGAGGACCGGGCCGCGGGGACGCTAAGCCCCGAAATCGTATCAAGATAACTTCAGCCAAAAATATGACATAATCTAAGGTGTAGTGACGTGGAACTTTGGGAAGTCGATTTGGTATATATATTTAAAAATCCACTGTATATTTCGTATTAAGTATTAAACTTGCTCATTATCATTTCATATGTACACATAATTAAAAACATACACGTAAATACTTTTTCACCTGATTTCCTGGCAGGTAGTTCAAGTTAGCATTCAGCTTGAAACCATGTACCTAACACTCACTCTCAAACCCTGAGCCTAAAATATTCTCAAGACCTGCAAATCATGTTCTTATTCCTGCTAGCTCACACACTAACCGACGAGGAGAATCCCAACGATCGTGACAGCGGACTGTGGAGGTTCCTGACAGCCGGGAAAGAATGGCTGGAGGATGTAGTTAGCGAAGGTGAGCGCCCCGATGGCCCGGCTGCCAGGGATGCTGATCATCACCACCATCCACAGGTAGAGGAAGGCTGGCAGGGGACCGAACGCCTCGAGCAGGTATGTGTAGTTACCCCCGCTCTGTGGGATCATCGTGCCTGGGAAGTAAATCCTTAATTATACTAGGTAATTAGCTCTAGGTGTTAGACTTTTCGACCGTCAATTGTTTAATGCACCGACTCTTGGCCCATTTTCTCCATCATATGTACTATATTACAGACACCCACACTCACGTGGCAGTAGTCCTATAGGCCATGGTTCGATTCCCTGGTGTGGCAGAAACAAATGGGTAGAATTTTTTCTCATATTGCTTCTCATCACCTAGCAGTAAATTGGTACCTAGGAGTAAGAAAGTTCCTACTAGCTGCACCATGGGTTGTGTGTGTGTTTTTAGAGAGAAATATGAATAAGATATGAAAGATAAAGATATAGGTCGGGCATTAGTAAATTAGGCAACCGACTGTTAGAAAGACAGGGCTAACAGCTCGATCTTGCAGGCAAAAATAGTTGAACACACACACACACACACACACACACACACACACACACACACACACACACACACACACACACACACACACACACACACACACACACACACACACATCAGACTTGTTCCGGAACCGTTCCGTTTCACCAGACTCGTTCCAGAACTGAGAGGTACGAGCTACGAAGAAAGACTAAAGGAGCTGAAACTCACGACCCTTGAAGACAGAAAAGTAAGGGAAGACATGTTAACCACCTACAAAATTCTTAGGGGAATTGACAAGGTGGACAAAGATAAACTCTTTAGCACGGATGGAACACGAACAAGGGGACACAGGTGGACACTTAGTACCCAGATGAGCCACAGAGACGTTAGAAAGAATTTTTTCATTGTCAGAGTAGTTAGTAAATGGATGCATTAGGCAGTTATGTTGTGAAGGCTGACTCCATACACAGTTTCAAATGTAGGTATGATAGAGCCCAGTAGGCTCAGGAATATGTACACCAGTTGATTGACAGTTGAGAGGCGGGACCAAAGAGCCAGAGCTCAACCCCTGCAAGCACAAATAGATGAGTACAAATAGGTGAGTACACACACACATACACACACACACTTGTGTGTGTGTGTGTGTGTGTGTGTGTGTGTGTGTGTGTGTGTGTGTGTGTGTGTGTGTGTGTGTGTGTGTGTGTGTGTGTGTACTCACCTATTTGTACTCACCTATTTGTGCTTGCAGGATCGAGCATTGACTCACGGATCCCGCCTTTCTAGCTATCGGTTGTTTACAGCAATGACTCCTGTCCCATTTCCCTATCATACCTAGTTTTAAAAGTATGAATAGTATTTGCTTCCACAACCTGTTCCCCAAGTGCATTCCATTTTTCCACTACTCTCACGCTAAAAAAAAAAAAAAAAGAATGTGTGTGTGTGTGTGTGTGTGTGTGTGTGTGTGTGTGTGTGTGTGTGTGTGTGTGTGTGTGTGTGTGTGTGTGTGTGTGTGTGTTAGCTTGTATACAATGCAAGGTGATGGAGAAGATTGTGAGAAAAAACCTAGTAACACATCTGGAGAGACGAGACATCGTGACAACCCATCAACATGGGTTCAGGGAGGGTAAATCTTGCCTTACAGGCTTAATAGAATTCTACGATCAGGTGACAAAGATTAAGCAAGAAAGAGAAGGATGGGCGGACTGCATTTTTTTGGACTGTCGGAAAGCCTTTGACACAGTACCCCATAAAAGGCTGATGCATAAGCTGGAGAAACAGGCAGGAGTAACTGGTAGGGCGCTCCAGTGGTTAAGGGAGTACCTAAGCAATAGGAAGCAGAGAGTTCCAGTGAGGGTGAAACCTCAGATTGGCGTGAAGTCACCAGTGGAGTCCCACAGGGCTCTGTACTCGGACCTATCCTGTTTCTGATATACGTAATTGATTTCCCAGAGGGTATAGACTCATTCCTTTCAATGTTTGCTGACGACGCCAAAATTATGAGAAGGATTAAGATAGAGGAGGACAGCTTAAGGCTTCAAAAAGACATGGACAAGCTGCAGGAATGGTCGAACAAATGGTTGTTAGAGTTTAACCCAAGCAAATGTAATGTAATAAAGATAGGGGTTGGAAGCAGGAGACCAGATACAAGGTATCACTTGGGAGATGAAATACTTCAGGAGTCAGAGAGAGAGAAAGACCTGGGGGTTGATATCATGCCAGACCTGTCCCCTGAAGCTCATATTAAGAGGATAACATCAGCGGCATATGCCAGGTTGGCCAACATAAGACCGGCATTTAGAAACTTGTGTAAGGAATCTTTCAGAACATTATATACCACATATGTCAAACCAATCTTAAAGTATGCGGCTCCAGCATGGAGTCCAAATCTAGTCAAGCATAAAACTAAATTGGAAAAGGTTCAAAGGTTTGCCACCAGACTAGTACCCGGGCTGAGAGGTATGAGCAATGAGGAGAGACTACGGGAATTAATCCTCATTTCGTTGGAAGACAGAACAGTTAGGGGGGGGGCATGATCACCACATTCAAGATTCTCAAGGGAATCGACAGGATAGATAAAAACAGGTTATATAACACAAGGGGCACACGCACTAGGGGACACAGGTGGACACTGAGTGCCCAAATGAGCCACAGAGATATTAGAAAGAACATTTTTAGTGTCAGAGTGGTTGACAAATGTGATGCATTAGGAAGTGATGTGGTGGAGGCTGACTCCATACACAGTTTCAAGTGAAGATATGATAGAGCCCAATAGGCTCAGGAATCTGTACACCTGTTCATTGACGGTTAAGAGGAAGGACCAAAGAGCCAGAACTCAACCCCCGCAAGCACAACTAGGTGAGTACAACTAGGTGAGCAAACACATTTAGGGGGGACATGATCACCACATTCAAGATTCTCAAGGGAATCGACTCGGTAGATAAAGACAGGATATTTAACACAAAGGGCACACGCACTAGGGGACACAGGTGGAAAGTGAGTGCCCAAATGAGCCACAGAGATATTAGAAAAAACTTTTTTAGTGTCAGAGTGGTTGACAAATGGAATGCATTAGGAAGTGATGTGGTGGAGGCTGACTCCATACACAGTTTCAAGTGTAGATATGACAGAGCCCAATAGGCTCAGGAATCTGTAAACCAGTTGACTGACGGTTAAGAGGAAGGACCAAAGAGCCAGAACTCAACCCCGGCAAGCACAACTAGGTGAGTACAACTAGGTGAGTGTACACACACACACACACACACACACACACACACACACACACACACACACACACACACACACACACACACACACACACACACACACACACACACAGGGAACCAGACACAATAAGAATTCCAGAGAACAACATAGAGCACATAGAGGTGTTTAGAGACGAAGTAGAAAAAATGCTCAAGGAGCTAAATAAGAACAAAGGTCTTGGTCCATATGGAATTTCACCATGGGTTCTGAGAGAATGTGCACCTGAGCTCAGCATTATACTTCAACTGATTTTTCAGGCATCCCTGTTTACAGGAGTTGCAGCTGATGTGTGGAAAAAGGCTAACATAGTTCCAATCTACAAAAGTGGAAGCAGGGAAGACCCCCTTAATTATAAACCTGTATAATTGAAAAGTGTAATAGTCAAAATATTGGAAAAATAATTAAAACTAAATGGGTAGAACACCTGGAGAGAAATGATATAATATCAGACAGACAATATGGTTTTCAATCTGGAAGATCCTGTGTATCGAATTTACTCAGTTTCTATGATCGAGCAACAGAGATATTACAGGAAAGAGATGGTTGGGTTGACTGCATCTATCTGGACCTAAAAAAGACTTTCGACAGAGTTCCACATAAGAGGTTGTTCTGGAAACTGGAAAATATTGGAGGGGTGACAGGTAAGCTTCTAACATGGATGAAAAATTTTCTGACTGATAGAAAAATGAGGGCAGTGATCAGAGGCAATGTATCGGACTGGAGAAATGTCACAAGTGGAGTACCACAGGGTTCAGTTCTTGCACCAGTGATATTTATTGTCTACATAAATGATCTACCAGTTGGTATACAGAATTATATGAACATGTTTGCTGATGATGCTAAGATAATAGGAAGGATAAGGAACTTAGATGATTGTCATGCCCTTCATGATGCCCTGGACAAAATAAGTATACGGAGCACCACTTGGCAAATGGAATTTAATGTTAATAAATGCCATGTTATGGAATGTGGAATAGGAGAACAAAGACCCCACACAACCTATATATTATGTGAGAAATCTTTAAAGAAGTCTGATAAAGAAAGAGATCTAGGGGTGGTTCTAGATAGAAAACTATCACCTGAGGACCACATAAAGAATATTGTGCGAGGAGCCTATGCCACGCTTTCTAACTTCAGAATTGCTTTTAAATACATAGATGGCGATATACTAAATAAATTGTTCACGACTTTTGTTAGGCCAAAGCTAGAATATGCAGTTGTTGTGTGGTGCCCATATCTTAAGAAGCACATCAACAAACTGGAAAATGTGCAGACACGCTACTAAGTGGCTCCCAGAACTGAAGGGCAAGAGCTACAAGGAGAGGTTAGAGGCAATAAATATGTCAAAACTAGAAGACAGAAGAAAAAGAGGTGATATGATCACTACATACAAAATAGTAACAGGAATTGATAAAATCGATAGGGAAGATTTCCTGAGACCTGGAACTTTAAGAAGAAGAGGTCATAGATTTAAACTAGCTAAACACAGATGCCGAAGAAATATAAGAAATTTCACTTTCGCAAACAGAGTGGTAGACGGTTGGAACAAGTTAGGTGAGAAGGTGGTGGAGGCCAAGACCGTCAGTAGTTTCAAAGCGTTATATGACAAAGAGTGCTGGGAAGACGGGACACCACGAGCGTAGCTCTCATCCTGTAACTACACTTAGGTAAAAAAACACTTAGGTAAAAAACACACACACATGTGTGTTTCTTAAACAAGTTTCTAACAGAAACTTGTATAACGAATCATTCTGAACTTTGTATACCACCTATGTCAGACCAATCCTGGAGTAGGCGGCCCCGGCATGTAGTCCATATCTAATCAAGCATAAGACTAAACTGGAAAAGGTTCACAGGT